CTTTTCTCAGAGGAAAAGATGTTTTTGCTCTTCTCCCGACTGGTTTCGGCAAGAGTAGCCTGGCTTGTGGTTGTGTTTTCGTCGTCGCTCTGTTAGTACGTCATATGCTTTGTTGATCTGATTGGTTTATTTGGCCGGTCTTTCACCAATATAGGCCAATCAGCTAACCAGTATTTTCGTCCCTTTCCAAAATTACTTCAACGGAAGGTTTCCAGATGGATATGCGGAGCAAATCCATCTGGCGGAGTCAGGTTAGTCAAATAGAGGCCTGTTTTATTTGCTGTAATTACTCTCTAGGAAGCTTTTCTAACAATCGGAAAAGTCAGAGCATTAATTTCTCCCTTTACCTTTTTAGTTTTATAACTACATTTCTGATTAATAGAATATTTGGAGGCTCTTATTCTGTTTTGAATGGTGTCGTTTACATTGGTTTAGAAATGGATAGTGAAATTAAAGTGTCCTTGGTGGAAATTGTAATCTAGGAAGTGATAATTGGGGGAATTTGAGTGCACACCAAAAGACCTGGCTATCCTTTGAATATTTCATACAGCTGGTCTTTTGGTCCATCTTTCTTCCTGTTCTGTGCCTCATGCTGCACGGAAACGGCAGGAGTGTTGATTATCTTCTTTGTTGGCAAGAGCAGCAGTGACACGTCACAAGTCCTAGTCAGCAGGTTGTACAATTTCAATGCCGGCCACGGAAATTTGCACACAAACACTTATCTAAGGGGTTTGACACTCTGATATTACATTATAGATATGTTTTTTTTATCTTAATGCAGTCTCTGATCATAAAACTGTGTGAAAGCTGAGTGTAAAGGGAGAATAAATGCTAAAAAACAGAATAATAAGGATCCTTCTAAACTGAAAAGTAATTTATTGAGACATCTTAAAATCTGATGACATCAGAGAAGCTTTGCTGCCCCGGGACCCCAATGACATTAAGCATTACACTAAAGGAGGAAAAATACAGATGATAAAAGATTTTCCATAACATAAAGGGCAAAATATGTAAAAAAATAAAAATTTTGGCAAATTTTTTAACAGCTGTATTAAATACAACTGAAAATAAACATTGTTTTTCTAACCCATTATTAAACTTATTTGCAGAAATTGAGTTGCAACAAGACAGGAACTAATTGGGTAACCAAATAAAAAAAAAAAAAGAAACGCATGGGTTTCAAATTTTTTTTATGTAAAACTATCGTTAAAAGACTGGGTATGCTGCTCTTGTCTGTCTATTAGTTACTCGGTTTTAATTAAGTAGATCTTTACCGTCATGTAGCTCTCTGTTTTTAGATATTTACTCATTTTCTTTTTAGTAAAACAAGAGTAAATATTTAATTTGCGCAGAAGAAGAATTCATGCAAGTTATGCTGCACTGCTGTTATTATGCAAACTACAATAAGATTTTTCCACATTACTATTTTATTTACAATAGAGGCTAAAAATCTGCTTACTTCCTTAATGGGGTGAAATACAGATTAAAGTAAAGTGTGCACAGTTTAACTTGTGATGGCAGCGGGTTATTGGTAAATCTATTACACTAATCTGCTGCAGGGAGAGACAGTCGTTTGCTGTTATAATCTTGCAGAGAGTGATGTTGCCTTAAGGATATATTTATGTGGGATATATTCAGCAGCTCTCATGTTCATTTGATTTTCAGTGCAGAGAACAGCACTTTCCCTCCGTCTTCATTATAGAAAAATCTGGTTAATTAACATAGCTGTAACATGCAGACTTTTTAAAGGCCTTTTTCTGCTGCTTAGTGATGGCTTTAATGCAACAATGATTAGGCTCAATCAGCTACATTATACTGCTTGACTTAAACGCATTAAAATCATATTTTCTGATGATTTACACCTTTTAAAGTTTTGTATTTGTGCAGCCTGATGTCCTCCTTGCTGTTTCTGTGTTTGTATGCTAACTCTAGTATGAGAGGATATATACCATAGATCAGGAGTCTTCAACGTTTTCCAGGCCAAAAAAAACACAAACTGATGGAGAGATTGTGTTCTATCAAACTGGTTCTATAGTCACTCTATTACAGATGGTGTAATGTAAAGTTAGCAATTTCTCCCTGGGATTATTAAAGAATTTCTGATTCTGATTCCTGGTTGATGGGACAGGTGTTGTGAATGAAACGGTGCCCAGCTTGAAAGAGGTGCTGTGTGTCGCTGAATGTGTGCATTGATGACTGAAAGACATCTTCTGCCTCCATTTATCTGTTTACTACAGTGTCTTGAATTCATGTTAATGTGGAAAAAGTTGTGACCCCCATGCAGTACCTCAGTGGACCCCCTTGGGGTCGCGGACTCCCTGTTGAAGACCCCTGGCTTAGAGTGTCAGGTTTGGGCCTGGATGTTTCACATATTTCTACTACTCTCTATTTTATTCAACCTGAATTTAAAAATTCAGTTATTGGGCTGCACCTCTGGGCCGGATCGTTTGTTTCCTCTGATTTCTTTTAGTTTGCTGATCTCTGTATTTGAGTCTGCAGCTTGAAGACAGTGAGCCATTCATTGGGCAGTAGTGGAGGGGTGGAGCGTGGCAGGTGCAGGGACTAAGTCGTCTGTCCTAGAAGCAGAGGGGGGGCTATGAGAGCGGATGATTCTTTTATATCCAGTTTAGTCGGTCAAGCACACTTATACTTGCTTTTCTAACTTCCATAAATGGTTGAATCCATTTATTGTTTTCAGCTGTAATGGCTACCATGATGAAGTTTCTCAGCTGTGTTTTCTATTCCTCCTACAGGTTGCAGGCTAAAAGATCCGGCCGATAATGCGCGGCAGCTCCTTCACATCCTCACCCTCTCCCTGCTTGTAGAGGAAGCGGCTGTGCCAGCATGTCCTCCCATCCCCAGTCCGTGCCACCAGGCCGGAGAACTCTGGACGCAAGGCACCTGCACAACCCTGCCACTCTACCCCTGCAGCTGCAGCGGCCACACGCGGTAAGCACTTTTTAGAGAAACCTCCGACATTTACAGATCGGAAACAGGGTGATTAGAGAGTAAACTGGAGGCAAAACAAAAACTGGTCTAACAGAAGCATTGCCAAGGTGAGAAGGCGGCACACCGGAACAGCCTCCCTCATTACATGTTTGGAGTTTAAAGGTCATGTTGTTATGGTGTCACATAAAGGCCTTCCTCAATATTTCCACAAACATCTCCTAATTATCTGGATTATGTGTGGATCAGGGATAAAGCAGCCTGTGCTTCAAAAGATGAGGCCTCTGGTTGAGCTGAAAACCTTTGATGACCTCCAGCGTTTCCAAGACTTGCTTTCTTGTTGCATGACTGAAGAATTCAAGGCTTATCCCCCAGGGTCCCCCCAGCTGCACCTGTTGCTAATCCCACCACTCCCATTTCTCAGCACATCCAGGTCCAGAAGCAGGTTGATGGGCTGCTCACTGTGCTTCCCAAAGGGCAGGTTTACAGTAGCTGCACGCATTGCCCCATTTATCTAATGGAAAGAGAGAAAAAATAGCTGAACTTTTAACAGGAAATAAGTGAAATGTGTGAATTTGAAATTAGTTTTTTTCCCCCACATCAAAAACCAGGTATTTATTCATTCATTACAGGAAGTGGGACTGGTCGACTTCCACTCGCATCATGCCAGGGACTACAGCTCCCACCTGGCCCAGCCACATCGCCGTCGGCCTTCCTTACTTTCAGAGTTCCAGCCTGGGAATGAAAGGTAACGGCACTTTGCTTCATTGAAACCTATTTCTTCTTCCAGATTTAAATGTATGATGTACAGTGAACCCTCGCTGCAACGCGGTTCACTTTTCACGGCCTCGCTGCTTCACGGATTTGCGTCATGCATGGTGTTCTGCATTCTGATTGGCTAAACAGTCTCTTTACGCCTTCTCCCAAATGTGTGTCAATAAGGGCATGTCGGTTTATAAGGATCTTTTGGCCCAGAAGACAAAAGAGCGACAACTACCGATAACTATGTTCTTCTCTCCAATAAACACACCTGCACTGCAGGCTTTAGAAGAAAAAAAAAACACCACAGAGCAGTGTCAGGATGCA